TGTATCATTTTAATCAGAAATTTGCGCGTTACAATCCTGCATTATTAAGAAAGGCTTGGGTTATTTTTTGGGATTTCTGAAAAACTGGTTTTCCAGAAGACTGGATCTTCGAAGAGCTATGGACCGGTCCCATGATCATATTCGGAATCAGCATGGTCGATAACCTATAACCCACTAGATGTCGATCAAAAAGCTTTTAATCATCTCGAAAGGTTCCCTCGTCAGTTATATTCAGTACTGTTCAAGATGTTTTTGTTCATACGATCGGAAAAAATCGTTGTCAGTGTGGCTGTTTCTCTAATCAGGTTTTTTTTGCAAATTCACAACCACCCAATCACTTGTTCGAGGGGATTTTGAGTACTCGAAAATGCGCTTTCAATAGACGCTCTCTAAGGGCTCGACCCCTCGCAAAATGAGACTTTGGACCCTCGATATAAGCGTTCGAGGGGTTATCAATTTCGAGCCCTCGAGAAAACTTCCGACCCATCGAACAGAGATGTTCGAGACCCAAGCAGACAAAAAGACTTCCGAGCTCTCGTCGCCCGAGGATGCGACGAGGGCTCAGAAGTCGCGAGCACCTTTGTCGACGGATCGGAATTTTTCTCGAGGGCTCGCTACCTATCTGAAACTCACGTATTCGAAATATCCTCGAACAAGTGATTGAATGGTTATGAATTTAAAACTAAAATTCACATCGGTCATTAACTGCATGTTAGCATGCCATTTTTGAAACAGATAAAATACCAGGAAAAAACCTAGCATTTTTGACGATAACAGTTAACCTATGGTCTCTTTTTTTTCCTATTATAACGCTATAAAACATGCCTTTTCTTAAGTTATGGTATTATAACGTGTTTGAGTTTTCTACTTCAATATAATGCGTTAGAAATTGTTTGAAAAAATCTTTTATAGCGTTATAACTCATTAGATAATGCATATCATATTGTAACGAGTTAATATGTAATAGATTACTATGCATTATTCTTCTCTATCTAAATACAATGAGATAAGAAAAATGGAACGCGGTGTAACACATTAGGTATTAATGCGTTTATAACGAGTTAGACAATATACAAAACGAAAATATATGGTTTTCTCGTAAAAGACACATTTCTATAAAATTCTGAGACTACGATCGTTTCCTCTCGAAAAGTTGATCTGGAAAAGATTGTTTCAGCTATATACGATATATACGATAGTGACTTGATCAAGTCCCACGTATAGCGTTACAACGGCTAAACAGTTAACGCATTGTAATGCCATAAAATTTAAAACGTTATAATGTGTTAGATGTTATAGCGATATAATACATTAACCTGCAACACGTTGCAAACAGACGGCATGAATGAACGAATATTTTCAGAAAGAGACTGGAAATAGTTCAACAATATATACAAAACGATTATTAATACTTGGCTTAATCTAGACATTATCGTCAGCTAAAAATATGATCAAAGTACACTGTACCTAATAAACATCGAACTTAACAAGAAAAAAACAAATAAAACAGTTTTCATCATTCTTTTTTTGTAGTTTTGGCTATTGCTCATGTGAAACTGTGTGACTGGTCATTTGCTTTATGTTTCATTCTATTTGTATGATTAGATATAGTGAATGCATAGATTTTTTTTGTCTGTGTTTTTTATGTGGATCAAAGAAACCTTTGTTCTACATCATCTCTACCTCACCACCACCACAAGTATATCACTTCGATTCTGAGTATGCCAATATTCCTCAGATGAGAGTCATACTGATTTATCAATACGTTGTTTCAGCTATGTTATATCGATTATTAACATCGAGTTTTGTCGTCTTCCACAATATAATACAACAAATCAAAATTTGACAAATGAATTATTTGTTTCCTGACGAACTGTTTCAGTTGACGTCACATTTAATCACAAAATATGTGCGATTGATAGTCTTATCTGCTTGAGATATTTGATGAATAATAATTCGAATCTCTATACACTAACCAAAGTACATGTTAACAATGTCTGTATTTTTCTTAGTTTTTTATTAATTATTGCTCAACAAAAAAATATAAATATAAATATGTGTATAGCTCTGAAATTGACAAAAAGACACTGCGTTGTGGTTTTTTATACAAAAGGAAAAAATACGAATCAAAATGAACGAAAACGACACATATTGCACAAAAATTTTGATCTATAAAAAGAAATGTATATGAAAGAGTTTAGGTTTTTTTCATTAAATTCAATGGATCATCAAATATATCATCTGAAATATTCACCATTTTTGAGGAAGATGATTGTTTAGATTTCGAAGTGGATGTGGTTGTACTACCAAATAAATCATCTGAACAAAAAAAAAACAGTACAAAAATATAGCGATATACTAATTGACTGAGAGAAAGATTTAATTTTTAAAAAGTTAGAAATTAGCGTGGATTTCTTAAAAATTTTAGTTTCTGTTGTCTATAGGTGAATTCGAGATGTTTACCTGTGTCAATATTATTTGTAGTTTGTTTTGTATTCATTATTGACCAATCTTTTTTCGCTTTATTTGTTTCTTTTTTAGGTATTTTAATATCGCCAAAAATATCATCCTCTAACGATTGCACAGACTGTTTTCCACTAGACTGTTTTTTTGTAACAGGTTTTAATAAATCATCAACATCGTTGTCAAATACAGCAGATCCTTTTGATTTTGTTGCTGTGGATGGAACAACTTTTTCTGCTGGTTTAATGGACTGCAAACAAAATAAGAAAATACAAAATTGTAGATTGTTCAGATCATGAATGAACATTTTATTCACTTGCCTTGTCTGTCTGCGACTGAGTTGGACCACTGGATTTCGGTCCTTAAATAGAAAAGTAAGGGTGTCTAATTCTAAAATGTAAATTCTAATGGAACAAAATGATTTTCTATTATTTTTACTATGCAATATTGTAAGAAACTCCTGAGCATAATTTATCTTTTTAAAATTCTGGTACTGTGACGAAAATATGCTTTGATTTAGAATGTCTGATAATCTATGAACTTTATAGCAATCTGCAAGCTAAATCGGATGATGATTATGTTTATATTTAACATTTATTTTAACAAGAGCAGCAGCAGCAATAGAACTCGTAACCTACTTTGATGTATTTTTATTTTTCCAAACAAATCATCATCATCTTCTTCATTATCTGAATCAAATATTGAAAATTTTTTTTGCTCTTTTTTTAGTTTTATTTTATTATCATCAAATATTGATGGGACTGATACTAGTAGCGATTTTGATGAATCAATTTGAGCGTTAGCTGTAGTAGTAGTAGCAGCAGCAGCAGTAATACTACCGTTTTTGCTACCACCTATACCAAATAGATCATCATCATCATCATCAATTTGTATTTTTGTCTTTTTTATATCAACAACTGTTGTTGGTGGAACTAATTTTGGTTCAATAACTGGAATTACGGGAGATTTTGTCACTATTTCTGGTGATGGTAATTTTTCTGGTAATATTTCTGATGATTCATCAATTGTTGAAGATAATTGAAATAAATCATCATTAGCTATTGCAGTAGCACTTGGAGTTGTACGTGTTTTTCGAGATGGAGGTGTACGACGAGCAGTTGAAGCTAATTTTGCTTTGTCCTATAACAAGCCAAAATTTTATAAATAGTCGAGTATTAAAAACAAAAAAAGATACAACATTTGTTCTTTCTCTACTCAGTTTTTCATTTATAAAAAAAAGTTGCTCACTGGAGCCTTTCAAAATTGTTCCAGACTCGTGTCAGAATGAAAAATACGGGTCAGATTCAGATTACCATGATTCTGAGTCTACAAAAATCTAAATCCGTAGAGCTTCGACCGCAGTACTTTTCATTATCATGAAGTTTGTCTAAATACAATTGTTCTTTTACTAAAACACGTTGTTAATTACTTTGAGTATGTTTAGCATTGTTTGATCTTGAGTCAATTCAGTATTAACTATGGATGGTGTTCTATCTTTTACCACATTAGATGATATCGATTTAGTTGTGCTCTCATCTTCTTTAGATGCTACTTCAGACGTTGTCAACAATTTGTCATCTTCCTCTTTCTCGATAAGAACACTCGACGATTTGGGACGAATAGCACCAGGCATTAAAGCAGAAGGATTTATTTTTAATAAAGACTGAAAAATAAAATGAAAATATTAATAATAAATTTTCAATATATTTAAATATTTCTACGTACCGATAATTGTTTAACATTTGTTTTCACTTTTTCGTCTTGATTAATGACATCTGGCTTTTTATTCTTTGTTTCATCATTATTCTCTTTTTCAATTGAAGAAATTTTACTTTTTATAGATTTTGTTTTATTTTTATCACCAAATAACTCTTCATCACTGTCATCTTCCAAAATGTTTACTTGTTTTTTAGCCTCATTTTTTGCAGCTGGTCTAGTTTCAATAACAGGATGTTTCTTTATTAAATCTGTCTTTTCATCTGGTTTAATGACAAGTGGAGATTTTATTTCTGTTAAATTTTTATTGTTTTTTATTTCAATTGGAGATGGTTTTGATTTAATTCCAAATAAGTCGGAATCATCTTCATCCGGTAAGTCCAGAGGCTTTGACGATTGTATTTCAGATACCGATTTTATCGGTGTTATCGGTGTTGCATCGACGATCTTCTGTACAACAGGTTTTAGGCCAGTTATACCAAATAAGTTTTCGTCATCATCAGGGGACGATATGACAGCCGTCGGTGATGATACTACAGTAGTAGGAGGAATGCTCAACGGTGCGGTAGAGAGAGGTGTTTGTTGGCTCTTTGTAATCGTTGAAGAACTAAAGAAGAAAGAAAGTCTATATATTAGAGTAGCTACTCTTTTGTAGTCTTTTATTTTCGCTGATGTCACATCAGTAGCCGTGTGTATTTAATAATACGAACGATAGTGTTTATCTTAAGTATTACGCTATTCTAGCATCAAACGAGAGAATATACTACAGAGAAAACTAAAACAATCGTACTAGACTATAATGGAATATGGACAAATAGAAAGTAATTTCATACATCGCTAATTTATCATCGTTTGTATCCACTTTTTTCAATGGACCAAATAAATCTTCATCCGATGAGGGAGACATAGCTAATGGACTTTGAACTGTTTTTTTTTCTGTTATCATTGTTGTCTGTAAAGGTGGAAGTACTTTGACACCACTAAATGTAGATTCTGTGGTTGATTTGATTATCGAGCTAAAAAAACGTTAAAAAGATGAGATATTATCAAGTAAAAGAAATTAGAAACAGATTATTCAAATTGATGACTGATAAAGAAACAATATTTTTATGTATTTTACACTTATTTGTTTTTCTAAAGTTAAGAAATTATACAGTCATTTTTCGATTCGTATACATACGGAAATAGATCGTCGTCGGAAGATGGCGATGTAGCTAATATTTTTTGTTGTGTAGTAGCAACAGGAGGCTGTGATTTTGTTTGAATAACGGAAGGTGTTGATAGTTTTTTATTATCAACTATATTTTCCTGTTTCTTAGGTATTGTGGTAGAACTAATGGTCGGTATTGGCTGTTTTGTCGAAGATCGTGATGGACCAAACAAGTCATCTTCGTCTGATGAATCTTGTGCCATTTGTCGATTAGGAATAATTCCTGTTGAAATATCTGTTGATTGTGGTTGTACTGGAGGGTTAACAGTGAGAACACTAGTCTTTGTTGTTGAAGTTTTTTTTATACCGAATAAATCATCTCTGTCGTTATCCTAAAACAATTATTAAAGTTTTATCCATCAATTTATAATATTGTAAAGGGTTGATATCGTACAGGTGCTAATCTTGTTGTGAATATTTTCTGCTTTCATACATCGTATATATTTCTAAAGCAACGTAATTTTAGTCTTACCTCATCGTCTAATTGTGGTGATGTTAAAACGGATTTTATTGGGATGGTAGTAACAGCTGGCGCAGTTGCTGTTGTTTTTTTAGCAATAGGTTTTACTCCAAATAAATCATCGTCACTATCGTCTTCCACATCTAGAAACGTTTTTGCCTCTACTTGAGTAGGTGCAATTGTTGGAATAACTGTTGTTGGTTTTTGTTTAATTCCAAATGAAAATGAACTATCCGTGTCTTCTTCCACATCGTCGAATAATGTTTTCTTCTTTGTGTTAAATATATCGTAGCTTGGCTCAACAGATTTTGTCGTTGGTAGCTTTTTGACCGTTGTTGCTGTAAACAATCCATCATCGTCATCTTCATTATCAGTGGGTGTATCAACGAATAACGAAGAAGGTTTTGGATTAAGCTAAGAAAAAAGTTTACAAAACTTTTAAATATCTTGTAGCTCGTTAAAATATAAGCCAAACTAAAATTACACACTCTAATTGTTTCGCATAGAAATAATATGGGAAAATTTTGTTTTGTGGATGAAATTGTTTCCTCTACTTCAAAGACAAGTTAAGTCAAAAATATGCTTTAATCTCACCATGTTAAGTACAGATGTTGTTGGAGGTTGAGGTTGAGGAGCAGTGGATAATGGTTGTGGAACAAGAGCCGAACTAAATAATAAGTAGCTATTGGAATGATATGTAAAAATTAAAGCAATAGCAATTATCAGCTAAGTTCGCACGTTCCTCTCTCTCTCTCTCTCTCTACATACATAGCATCTTGTTTATTTGACGTAAGTGGTGGTTTCAATGATTGTACACGTGGTTGAACCTAGAACGAAAAAAAATGACTATTTGATAAGAATAGTAGAAAATCTTTGTATTTTTTTGACATCTGAATATAAAGACAGACAGGTAAACGCTTTAGCCTCAGCAACTGATCATACAAAACTTGAAATTTTGATACATTTGTCCAGACTTGATAAAACAAATTTTTCTTTTTAGTACCTTTTTTAGGATTTTTTAATACGATACATTGTCATCCTGTTATAGCGATCCTTCAATGTTCACTAAAATCCACGTTTGTCGACATTCGTGGGTGAATGATTAATGAACTTTACTGAAGGTAGTTTTAGTCCGATTTGTTTACACAATTCTATCGTTCTAGAAAATTAAAACACAAAATGTGTTCTTACCCGTTCCGGTACGTCGTCATCATTGTTTTCAGTGATATCCTTGTCTAAATTTATTTGTTTTCGTCGCCTTTCCACTGCTTTTTGTAATTCTGTTTTTCCATCTGAATCTTTTATTTGCGTTGATGGACTTAACATGGATACACCACCCGTCACTGTTCGTTCTTTAGAAGGAAGAGTAGCGATGTTTCCATTTTCGACAGTAGTCTCACCAAACAAATCCTTATCATCCGTATTCGATTCGAATAAATTCGATGTTGGTGGTTGTGTAGGAAAGAGAGATGATGTTGGTTTTGTAGTTATTATTCCAAATACATCGTCTGTCTCATTTATTTCTAAAACAGAAACGTTTTAAAAATCTGCATAATCGAAATTTACAAAAAGAGTTTTTTGGTTTATTTCTTATCATTTCTAAGAGCTCTATTATTTTCAAGAATCTTTAGTCTTTATGAGTACAAGACTTTTTTCTATTTTTCACTGATTTCCTAAGTACAAAAAGAGATAAAGTGAATGTAAAGATATCAGAAAGATGGCACTTTATACAAGAAGAAAGCTATTGTTTAAATTAATCCCAAAATATCTTTAGAATATTTTCATAATAAAAATTTCGTCAATCTTCCTAATGTAGAAGTTTTACATTTTTCTTCTGTTGGAACATTTGCCAGAAATTTTCTCAGTTTTTTCAAAAAACAAATTTCATCTATAGTTTTATGTGCGTACGGGTAGATACCCTATATCTGTTACTAACCTTCATCAGCAGATTGTTGATTAAATAAGTTTTTAAATTTTGGCGCCACGGTTGACGGAGGTTGCGAAGAAATGCCAAATAAGTCATCATTTTCAGCATCATTCTACATGATAGAAGAAAAATGGTTATAATATTTTTCTCATAAATCTTATAACACCTACTAGTTGTGGTTGTTGTTGTGAAGTTGTTTTTGGAAAGAGATCTGTTGTTGCCGTCTTATTAGAAGTAAAAAAACCAGCTTCTTCTTCCTCTTCTTTTGCAAATAAATCTAAAACAAAAATTGTTTTAAGTATATGAGAGAGAATTGGAGTATTTTTTAACTAACCTCTTTCATTCAATTTCGAATGACCAGTCGGAACTATAACCTGTTTTACTGGAGCCTAGAATTAAACAATATTAAATGACACAAAAGATCAAACGTGTAAATATGAAATCATACATCGTATTCACCATTTATACTTTCAGTTTCTGAACTTCCTATGACCTGAATAAACGAGATATTAAATTATTAATAGATTAATTTTACACTATTCAGATCCAACAAATATGATGGTTACATTCTGCTTCTTAGAGCAGAAAACTGTTTTAGACAATGTTTTAAGTTTTATAACATACCGAGTCAGAATCATTTTTGATTGGCGATGGTTCAAATGCATAATGTTCGTCTTCTATTTCTAAAAAACACAATATAGTCTAACAAGTAAGTAACTGATATACTGATAGTGTAACCTTTAATACCTTTTTCATCAATTTCTTTTAATCCAACATAATCATCTTCGATAAATTCAGCTGTGCCAATGAGATATGGTAATAGTCTTAAAACGTACGGATCTTTCGGTTCAAGCATAGCATCGATAACCATTCCATCGTCATAAAAATCATCCTGAACACCATTCACTTGAGGTAGTACTTGTGTAGTATCTACACGTTCAAAATGTGTGTCCAATATACTTAAACCACTCTGAATTGATTCGACAAATTTTTGAAGGATTCGTACATTGTCATGTTGAGGATCGCCGGTAGGAGATGAAGATGATTGAGACTAGAAAATTTAAAATTTATTACGGATGTGCCATCAAACTGAGTAGATTCCCTCATTCAACAAGGTACTCGATATTGAAGACAATACTAATAGACGGGATATTATATGATTGTGGTATATTGAAACTTAATTCGAAACTTCATTTATATAACGGCTTCAAATCTATATTGTAGGCGAGATATGTTAAACGAATGCATAGCTCAGTCTGCCTAATAAAACTAATCCAATATTGTACGCTATTACACACATCTGATCTATTCAACTTAAGATAATATGTTAGTTTACAAACCGTTTGTTGTTCATCTTTTTTCGATATTGTAGATTCATCATCATCATAGACACGCTGAAATAATAGAAAACAGAAATTAGTGATGTATTAATTAATTTTCTTGTATCTCACTTACATTTTCGATAAACTGTGTATTAGCTAATGCTGTAAATTCATTGAGGGAATTTTGAACACGTGTATGAGTGGCCTAAATAGAGAGATCTATGAGAAAAAGTAGTAGGATAAGAAAGTATAAATTTTACTTTAACAGCTTGAGCAGTTTGATTCAAATGATGGCGAATTGTTTCCGCACGTTCAGTTAGTTTTGTTGAAAATTGTTCCAAATGTAATAAGAGCTAAAGCATATAAACAATAAAACATAATTAATAACGAAAGTAAATAATTAACTATCGGTGATAATAATACTTGATTTTTAAGTGTCAAAAAACGAGCGTAATACTTACTCCTGCATCACTAGCTAATGACCAAATGGATGCATTTTGTCTTATTTCATCTGATGTCCACGGATGTAACCAAATGCGGCTTTCCGTTTGCACTTGTGTTTGCTGCTGTTGTGGTGAACTTTGTTGAATTTGTACTGGAGGCTGTTCGAAGGGAAATGGAGGAGGTGGAGGCGGTGGTGGAATGAATTGTTGTTCCATGCTTTTGTTAAAAAATCATTTGAATATTATGAAGAGAAAGCACCGGGCATGTAGAAGTAAAATGATCTAAAACAACATGATACATACACATGTGAAAGTTTGTCTTGTTCTTATCTTGTAAACAAAAGGAACAAGAAGAACAGAACAGGTAATCAACGTGTCTTAAGATTTCGGTAACGTATATCATACACATACAAAGACATGATTTCTTCAGTTGAAAACACGACTTCTAGCTGTTATCATTTATGACAACAAGCTGTGAAATCACCTACAAAGCCTATTGGAATCAGATCATACGTTCATAAAAGAGATAAAAAATGCTTTCTTTTAGCAATTTCAAGTCTCGGCTTCGACAATAAACACTTCGAACGATGGTGAGAATAAAATAGATATACGTAAAACGCTCATAAGACAATGTTCATAATATTCAAATTATAGAAGGTCTAACAATTATTAAAACGACTCTATTAATACGAATCGGTATTAATTATTTACTTGCGTCTCACAATGACTGAAAAAACGTCCTTCATACCATTCAGATTTC